ATTAAATAAGGATTATAATGTGAATAATGAAAATAAAAATTGATTAAAATTTTAACTATATTTAATAAGTTAAATTAAGATAATAACTAACTAATATGTTATTGGAATGCTATTATTAAATACAATAAATAAATTAGTATACAAATACTTACAGTATAATTTATTAAAGTGTACGAAGTAAATGACCTACCAAATCACGATGCAGATATCTACATTAGCTAATTGAAATACTAGATTCAATTTATCATCCCAAGTTGAGATTATCAATTAAATAATTTCTGAGGGTACGTACCATTATCTGCATATTCCATCACCAGAAAATATTTTTTTTGAATTATCACCCTGATTTTTTTTAAAGGAAAAATTATTTAATATTTAGATATTTTTTTTTTTCAAAAAAAAAAAAAAAGATAATAGTAACAATTTAAATTATATAACGTAGTTTTTATAATGCCACAAAAACGAATAATTTACTACTTCGCGCTGAAGATTAAGTTAATATTGAAGTAGAATTTTAAGTTAGGAACGTACTAATATATAATTAAAGAAGGTAAAAAAAAAAAAAAAATTAATAAAATAGTTAACATATAATTATAATTATTTCATTAACAATTTCTTTGATTATGACACTATTAAAATTAAAAGATTTCAACGCTAAATGATTGCGAAAACTTTTCTAGTTAGAACGATATACTTTTCAAAACTTCCGAAACCAATTTCTTGGATATTATTAAAATATTAGTAATCGTAATATTTAATGTGCTTTCGCAATAGCTTTTTTAATCCAATTAATCCACTTAATTGAATTACCAGTAATTTAAGTTCAGCGTTATTAAACATTGTTAAAGATGATAGAAATTTCTTAGTGCGGGTTAATTTTAGAATTTACTATAAATAAAATTGCGTATTGCAAAAGTTAGTAATATGGCACGCCGGGCTAAAGAAGTTTAACCCCTATAAAAAAAATTCTGTGAAAACCCCCGATAAATGATCATTTTTCTATTCCGAAGAAACTCAGACACGTGATCATTTTTCTGAAAATTTTTTATAGGGACGTCGTTTGACATTTATGAAGTTCAAATGATTTACTGTTACTGTCAAACAATTTGATTTTACGATCAAACCCTTTGTAATACGGTCAAACAATATGATGAAGTGGAAATAATTTTCCATATTTAGTTAGAATTCAAATGGCGTAAATTTGAGTAATTTTATGAAGAGATTTTCTTTTTGGAAGTCATGTGTAATTCTTAAAGGAGGTCTATTTCATTTTTAAGAAAATTATTTTTAAAATTAATAAGATTTGCATTTAATGACTGACAAATAATTTGCATTTAATGCCAAATTGTTTGCAATTAATGCAAAATGGTTTATATTTAACGTTAAATGTTTTGTACTTCAAGGTCAAACGATATGGTATTTAATGTCAAATAATATGTACTTCACCTTTAAATTTTTTCTGGCCAGTTCGGCATTCCTTAGTTTTATCGAATTTAGTGTTGATCATTGTTAGTTATGAAGCGAAAAAATACTGCATATGTCGACATAGCTCTACTGTGCATGGTATAAAGTTACCAAAATTCTATTGTATATTCATAATACGAACGTAACAATAACTTTTAAGTTAAATTACGGAAGTTTAATGATAGAGACCAGCATATTTGAATCCGACGGAGTCAAAAAATTTCATTTAAAGAAATACTGTAAAAAATAAAATAAAAATAAAATAAAAATAAAATAAAAAAGTGATTTATTAAACACTACTTTAAAATCAAAATTTTATACTTTATAAAACAATAACACATGATTAAATTGAATACAATGAATTTTAACGACGTAAATAATTCACGCTAACATATCTAAAAAAAAATCATCCATACGTATAAAACACTCTGGGAACCGACTTCGATGATCACTGAACTTATACGGTTAAAAATTTTAGTTATAATATTATCGTTATTTAAAAGAAATAGAAAGGAAATTGGTTGAATTTATCTATAGGATTTAATAAATTGTATGGCTGGTATTAAAAGTGAAAATTTTTTTAAAAAATATAAAAAATAATTTAAATGCATCAAGAGAAAAAAATAAACTAAATATATATTTCCTGCAGTAAAATTAAATACATCCCAAAAACGTGGATGGAAAATTGGTGGGTAACTCAATTTTGACGTCATTAATCGGGTACTGTGCTTTGCACGGACCATCAAGTATCAATGAAGCACCTTTAATGATCTCAATGTAACTATAACTATATTTATACTTTATAGTATGTATTAATTTGTTGAATAATAACAAATTGCGTTTTTGATTAGTAAATGAATATGGAAGGTCCTAACCAGAAGGATTTTCTTTACATATCGGCTTATTATCGGAATTGGACCAAAATTAAGGCCCCAAATTACTATTAAAATTGCATGTGACCATCGTAAATGTTACACAACAATCATATGTCAAGCGTTAGACTCTCTCACCGAAAAACCCAGATGTGTATAAGAGACAGATTTGAGCCTGTCAAATGATCTTTGATCGAAAATTATATACAATTAGTTTATATTAGCTGTAACCTGTTGCGTTGCAACAGGATAAATCAACATGATGAAATTTCTGGTATATATTTAAAGAAAATTAATTATTACATAATATTAATTTACAGTTTTTATTTATTAAATAAGGATTATAATGTGAATAATGAAAATAAAAATTGATTAAAATTTTAACTATATTTAATAAGTTAAATTAAGATAATAACTAACTAATATGTTATTGGAATGCTATTATTAAATACAATAAATAAATTAGTATACAAATACTTACAGTATAATTTATTAAAGTGTACGAAGTAAATGACCTACCAAATCACGATGCAGATATCTACATTAGCTAATTGAAATACTAGATTCAATTTATCATCCCAAGTTGAGATTATCAATTAAATAATTTCTGAGGGTACGTACCATTATCTGCATATTCCATCACCAGAAAATATTTTTTTTGAATTATCACCCTGATTTTTTTTAAAGGAAAAATTATTTAATATTTAGATATTTTTTTTTTTCAAAAAAAAAAAAAAAAA